GATGAATCAATTTTGTTATTGTATAATGTAGTTCTCGAATGTTTGATTATGGGGTAAAAGTCCTGGTATTATGGGGGGCCTTGTTTTCTACTCATTAAGGTCCATTAGTAGACGTGTATGTTGTGATAGTACACTAGCCCAAATCCAATTGGCTTTGATTCTCTCTCTCTTTCCTATTTATCTTGTATGTGGGATGACACTACTAGGTGTGGGTCTTATTCGGCAGGCGAGACAGTCAGTTATTATGAACCCAATTAAGGGTATTCTTATGGTTAATGGAATTCAATTTCCGTTAATTGATGACCCTATGGTGGTCGAATTGCTCGTGCTCCGAGAGGCTATTTTATGGTGTCTGGGCCACGGTTTCACGGAAATAAGGTTTGAAGGCGATGCCAAAGTGATCATCGACAAGATTAATCGGGCTAATACCAACGATAACCGGATGTGGGCTATTCTTGAAGAAATCATGCATTACTTTGCCATCCATTCTCGGTTTAGTGTTCGATTTGTAGGTCGGTGTAGTAATAGGGTAGCTCATGTGGTGGCTAAAAAGACATTTTCTTTGTACCCGACTACGATTCGTTTCTTTGATTTCCAGATCTGGCAGAATTCCAGGATGTAGCTATCTATTTTTTGAATCAATATATGATTATCTTTTGAAAACAAACACAAGAATTTCAGCTTGTTGTTAACTAATGTTAGGTAAAAAAAAGGTTTTTCTTTTGGCGAGATAAAAAAAAGGTTCTAATATGATTTTTGGAGGTATATGTGGTTTTTTTTTCTTTACATATGAAATACTTATGATGGAAGCCAAGACTTGACCGCTGTGCTACATCGCCTGACTAAGTTACACTTGACCTAATTAGAGGAGTAGGAGGATAGTTAGCATCGAGCTTTTCATAGCTCATTGCAACATCTCAAGTTCTTGGCACCTTGGTCGGGATTGGTAAGAATTGAGTTAAAATCTTTAATTGATTGGTAAAATCTTGAATATTAGTTATAAAATTGGAAGGTCTTATATCCATAGAGGTCAAAAAATAAATCTAACCTCCTATAAATATGAAAACAAGTCTCAAATTAAGTAGACATAAGACTTATTTAATAATGACTAAAACTAGAGCACTTCTACTATGTTATATAGCATTGGTGCTTTAATGTACAACTTAAAGCTATACCATAACATTAAATGTATAAGTTTAGGTTGTACCATAAAGCAATTTGTATCATTATGTTATGGTACAACTTTACAACTTGAAGTTGTACCATCACATAAGATACAACTTTAAGTTGTACCATAAAAGAATCTGTACAAAAAATATGGGTTAATTGCATGGTTGGTCACTGAGATTACAAAACCGGTTCAAGTTTGGTCACTAGAAATATTTAAATCCATTGGTGGTACTTCAGTTTACTGAAACCGTTCATGTTTGGTCACTCTCCGTCCAACTCCATTAACTTTTGCTGATGTGGCAGTCAACTCTAAAAGTTGACCGTTAACTTAGTGACGTGGCAACTAAAAAATTATTAAAAATAAAAAAATAAATTTTTATATTTTTCACCTCATTATTACATTCATTAAAAAATAAAAAAACCTAATTTCTTTATTTTTTAGAAAACGAGACTTGCGGGAAGCAGACCACGATCCTCCCGTCGCCGCCATCGCGGACGACGTTGCGGAGGGCTTCCACGACGAAGAACGCGGCGGCGTTGTCCAGCCCCGTCGTGGCCTCGTCCAGGCAGAGCACCCGTGTAGACCGGCAGGCTTTCGGGTCCTTCAATACTGCAACCGAGCAGCTTAACGAGGTTCTTGTGTTGAATTCCGCTGATCAAATTCACCTCGTTAAAGAACTCCTCCACCCATTGGCTTGTGTTGAAGATCAGCCGCTTCACTGCCACGGTTTGGTTATTGGGAAGAGATCCAATGAAAACTGTGCCAGCTCCTCCTTGGCCTAGCTTCTTCGACAGGCTGAAGTAATCAGTGGCTTTTTCTAAAGTTTCATACTTGAAGTCCATGCTTAACCTATTGAAGCTTATCGATACCTTGCCCAGATTTCTGCGTGCTGTGACAATTTCTAGTAAGTGGGGGAGCTAAAAAATGGAGTAGCTCTTGTAGTTTGTGGAGATGGTTTTTGGGTATATACCTTGTTTAGCCTTTAGGCGTTTGAGATGGACAGCGTATGCTGCGAAGAGTGTGAGCATGGCAAATGCTGCTGATGCTAAGGCAATCGCCATTATCACTCCCAGTGTTGAATCCCCTGAAAATTCAGAACAGAGCCGTGGCAACTCAAAATCAATGCTCAATTTTGCAAGAAACCCTAATTAAGTTATTCAAGATCGTTTCCCCCTTCTTCGTGTTTCTTTTCCGTCGCTTTCCCTCTGATTTCTCAGCAAACAAACAAAACCTAGAAAATGATATATAAATTTTAAAAAACAAAGACTCAAAGAGTCCGAAATTACCGCGACGATGCACTCTAACACCTCCGTCGCCGTAGAATTTATGATCGGAGTACTTCAAATAGCAACCGGCATTCAGCGCTCTCCCTTCCCTCCTCGGCAGACATCTTCCGACCACCGCGGCGGCGGCTTTACCCAAACACTCCCAGCAACCATCTCTCCCCACGCTCTCCCAGCACTGCGCCAGAGCATAAGCCCTTCCTCCAACCTCCGCCACTCCGAAAAACCCACTCACTCCCTCCGACACCGCCGCGTTCCTCGTCACATTCGCCACCGCGTACCTCACACTCTGCGTCTCTGCGCATACTCGAATTCCGCTCCAGCGGCGGCGGCGCCTCCGCATGTGAAGTTGTCGATGGTGGGGGAGACGGATTCTGCATAGAAGCTGTAATTCTCGTAGCGGAGGAAGCAGCCGCCGAGGTAGATCCGACGTCGAGCTAGAAATCATACAAGAAATTAGGTTTTTTTTATTTTTTTTTAATGAATGTAATAATGAGGTGGAAAAAAAAGTTTATTTTTTTATTTTTAATAATTTTTTAGTTGCCACGTCACTAAGTTAACGGTCAATTTTTAGAGTTGACTGCCACATCAGCAAAAGTTAACGGAGTTGGACGGAGAGTGACCAAACACGAACGGTTTCAGTAAACTGAAGTACCACCAATGGATTTAAATATTTCAAGTGACCAAACTTGAACGGTTTTTGTAATCTCGGTGACCAACCATGCAATTAACCCCAAAAAATATTGGTACAATCTGAAGTTGTACCATAATATTAAAGGTACAATTTCAAATTGTACCATAAAGAAAAAACTTATACCACCATTGCTATATAGCATTGTAAAATTCCCCTAAAACTATCAATTAAACTCCAAAATAACCAAATAAAAATACTAATAAATACTCCGTGCAAACAAACGTCTACTTCTAGAAATCATGTGCTGCCAAATTAATAATATCCATCTAAAGCACGCCCCAAAATTAATAGGATGGATTAATGTGCTTTCACGTGTGGACGTTCTTACGAGTAGGCAACAACTACTAAACAACGTGAACATCCATTTATTTATCAAATTCATCCTTATATTTCAATTCGAATCTTTATTTTTACCACGAGAATTAAATATCGTGCTAATCGGTATTGCATCAAATCTTGTATACTACCAAGTAGTACCATCATGATATAGAATGATAATATATAACTCAATTTTTTTCCAAAATATATCAAAGTGTATGTCATTTTGACATTAGGGTAGCGGTTTTAAAATTATCCTCCCTTTATAAAATAAACAGAAATTGAATTAATTATTAAACTAGAATTAAAATAATCAAAATATGTATATAGAAATATCAAACACCAAAAATATGTATATAGAAATATGTATATAGAAATACCAAAAAATTATTTACGGGAGAGTTAGTGGATTAGCTAACCATGGTGGAAAAGTCCTAAGATTTTTCATATTTTAGCTTCTTGTGTGTTCTTAATTAAAAAATTAAAAGATGAAACAAATTTGTTTAGTGTAACTGGTTATGCTTCCTTGTTTAAAGACACCACAGTCCCATTACTGATAATCTATCATTCCTACTTTCGCTCTCGATTCAGAGAGTTTGTAATGGGGCCTAGGAGAAATACCTTTCCCATTTCACTATTGTATTAGTTGTAGCGAAATTAGGCGCGATGGTTGAACGTTTAGTGGGATTGGGCACTATTTGGGCTCGTTTACATTTGTAGCGCATTTTCCATCCGCATTCAGCAAACCAACAACACTCAAACTTTTCATATTTATCACTACGAAAATTGCTATGGCGTAACAATAGAGGTGGAAGGTTAGCAGGTTGTTGAGTTCGATGGGAAGTTTGGAGAGACGGTGATGTTTAGTGTTTACTGTTTAGTGGTTCGGACACTATTGAGCCTGTTTACATTAGTAGGGCATTTTCCACCCGCGTTCAACAAACCAACATCACTAACCCTTTTCATATTTACCCTCTCTTAAATACACATGTACCTATATTCATTCAAAATTTATGTGTTAAAAATATCTTGTTCTATGGTAGTTATAAAAATTAAGTTCATGTTAAGAATTCTACATCGCTTCTGCACATTTCAGTACTGAAATTCGATACGTAATATTTGAACCAATGACATTTGAGTTGCGATTTTAAAATTATCATCTTTTTATAAGATAAAGAAAAAATAGGTTAATTATTAAAGTTTGATTAGAATCATCAAAATACGAAAATACAAATATCAAATACCAAATAATATTTACAATAGAGTTAGTAGGTTAGCCAATTATGGTGGGTAAGTCCTATGATTTTTCAAATTTTAGCTTCATGTTTGTTTTTAATTTAAAAAAATTTAACATATTTGTTTAGTGTAACTAGTTATGTTTCTTTCTTTTTTAATAGAACACGGTTCAAATATTATTATTGTTGTATATTTTCCTATAAATCATAAATAATAAATTATTACAAATCTATCATTCCTACTTACTCTAGATGCAAGAATTTTGAAATGGAGAAAATTTCCAATTTCTCTATTATATATTTGGTGTAGAGGTGTAGATCATGAGTAATTTAATAAGTTGACAAAAACTATGTTTTCATAAATAGACCCAGAACGAAATTCTGGCTACGCCTGACACCCTAGTTATTTCATAAGCGGCATTTTACAGCCGGAAGAAAGGAGAAGCCGTGCCAATCATGAACAGAACTTTCCACAAAAAAGAGGTGAGGATAATCAATAATGGTATATGCGGCCTCAAACCTAAAACTAAGCTAGCATTTACCGCTTTAACATCATCTGACCTGATGTAATCCCGCAATGGCTATTTTATCTATATGAGGCTTGTTGCAGACCCATCCTGATTGTAACAGGGCTCACAATCGTCCTGGTTCTCAGCTGCTTTAGTGTTCGTGTGTTCGTCTTCGAGGCTGTAATAGTTCATATCCAAGAAAATGCAGCTCTCCATTGTAGAGCCGGCCGCTTCCCAATCTTCTGCCGGAATCAAGTCGCCATGATTGTCAATATGTCCAGATATGTTTTCGTCTGTTTCTCGAGTTGAAGGAACTTCAATGTCCACATCGCCAAACCCAGACAAAAGTGATTGCAGAGGAGACCCTCCATTCAATCCCTCTCCACTTGCAAATTTCACCTCCAGTATGGGCTTCTCATAATCAACTACTGAAGAAGAGGTACGCGAGAAATGAATGATCTCCAGTGCATCTTGGTTCGAGTCTTGTTCGTTATCTGGCGTGAAACCAGATACTTTACGCAATGCAGCAACTTGAGATGGATCGCTGTGGTTAGTCTGTTCTTTGGATGCCTCTTCTAGCATCTCAGTTGGCTGGACAATAGCAGCATTGCTTGTTGGATCTTCAGCCTCTTCCTGCTGTAGTTCAACGTCCTGTGTATCACCTTCACACCCTTCACCATCTTGCCACTGCCCAATAGGTGTTCTTTCCGTGTACGGGAAGCCTTCAGCATCTAGTGATCCAATCACATTCTTATTACAGGGCATAGATAAAACTGAAGCTGTAAAGCCATCTGCCCCACAAGTTTCGTTGACAGGAGCTGAAAGGCCTGTGGTCTTTTCTGGATGCAACTTTGAGAGACCTGGAATCTCATCATTATTTAGAGGATCCATTGGAGTTTGTGACTGTATTTTTGGTGAAGAGGTCGTATCATCGTCATTTTCGTCTTCATCTTCATTGAGAAAGTCGGGAGCTCTCGTGGCTAGAGTTTGAGAATACTTGTCCTGGCATTGTGATAAAGTGGAAGACAAGAAGCCAGCAAATGCTGAAGCCAAAGCATCATCAATTGATACAGAATGTTTCTGCTCAGACTTGAGAGGTTCTGGAACTGGTTCCATTGCGAGATTTTGTTCCTCCTCGGCATTATCAAACTCAGGGGTACTGACTACCAGACTGGGCTGTACCAGATTGACATTTTCTTCAGGAGGGATAGATGATGCAGCTGAGGCTGGGTCCTTCTTCGTATCCTCGCAAGCCATACAACTGAGATCTAAACTTCCACTGTTATATAACGAGTTGGCTTCTGCTTCACCGCATGCAAATTCAGGAGCTGAGATTCTAGTACCAGGGTTATGGCTTTTCTTTGCAATCACTTCAAGCTGCTGCTCTACTCGCTGGAGCCTCTTATCAATACTGTTTATGGGTTCGAGAATACTTCCCTCAAACCTCAATATCAAATCTTCTATTCTGTTGACCCGAGATACAAGGTGATCAAGAACACTCCCCGTGCAATTTTGTGATGACCTGGCTCTGTATTCTGTTTCAAAAGAACTAGCGGGGATCTGACTATGGACTGCATCTGGCAACTTGATTCCTTCTTGAAAAGATGGAAGATCTTTTTCTTCATGCTGTACTTTATCTTCTGTACTAACTGAATCAGGTATTACTGGGCTCACTTCCCCAGACTTGTGTTCTTCTCGAGACTGAGTATCATAAGGACCCAGTTCCTCACTTACGTTTCTTGTCCCCATTGCATCAGTAATCGTTAGACACGTTTCAACAGATACTTGTTGGTCACTTCTGTCAATGTTGAGCTTTTCTTGTTCCCGGCCAACGCCATGAGTTCTAGACAATTGAAAAAAGGTTGGAATAAGCATAGCCATGAGCGAGCTTCCAGAAGAACATTCTGCTGAAATGGGTTGAGTTTCCTGGGTAGCTGCATCAATGGGGAAAGCAAACACGTAGACTTGATCAATGCATACACAACCTTTGTTCTGAAGTGACAGAAGTCTGATCGTAAGTGATTTGCAAGGATCCGTGTCACTAATCTCTGCAGTAGCTTCATATAGATCCTGAAGATTTAGAAACATCAATTCATTACAACTCAGAAGTACACATACACCTTGGAGCAAGTCAGTACTAAGAATTCGCTAAACAGCCTGAAAATCCTTATCCAAAAGCAACCTTCCAAGATACCTACTATTGATCTGGTTTCTAAAAACACTCAAAGAGGCAAAGCAGCACAGATAGCTGTGTTATAACCATATAGGTAACACCTCTGCATCCCATTTAATTTATCAAAGTCTCGTTATCACCACTAGTCTTCCAAAACCTAAGAACAAACTTTGGTGAATCTCCTAGCCAAGCAAAATTCATGACTCCAATGGAGTACAAATGGAAAGGATGAAAATATATAGATCTGATCCTAATTAGAAAACAAGATATATTGTTATTACCTGTGAGCTGCACCCTGCATCTGTGTCCGAATTTGATGACATGGAACCATTTTCCTTAGAGGGCAGAGAATTACGAAGAGCCTTGACATCAACCCAGTCATCTTCACTGCCAGTTGGGCTAGCACCATTTCTAATTTTTCCTTTAGCTAAATCATTACTAGAGCCCATTTGATGAACCAGTACAGCTTCTTCTATATTAGTTGCACGAAGGACTTCTTCATCCCTAACAGCAACACAACAACGAACAGTACACAGATACTCCGCACTGCTCTCCGATTCAGGGGCACAATATATTTCAAAGACTCGGGCTGTGCTTCTAACATAGACCTGCCTCACCTCTTGCTTCTGCGGGAAGGTCACTGTGGAAATAAACTCTTGAAGATTAGAAGAGATGACTAAGTAGAGGTTCACAGATGCATAACAATGGCTCAATATGATTGATACCCGTTCAGTGCGGAAGCATCCATTTACATGGATTCAGTGAATCTCACATAGAGTTAACATATGCCATGTTTGTTGATCGAGGAAATTAGTTCTCTCATCTAACCAATCTCTCAACTCGAAATGAACTAGTCAAGAAACAAAACCGTCCTATGAAAAGGAAAATAACATAAAAACTACGTGCTAACTGATATTCATTCAATGTCCGAAACTGGAAAAGCTTCAAGCTACAATAATCAATTTTCGTCGGGTTTATAGACAAACAAACAGGATCCGAGATCTAGCTATTTCATTTATCCCCAAGCTAATTTGGATAGAAGCAAGGAATTGGTGAACATACGTGTGATCTCGCAGGAAACGGAATCAGGAGAAGGAGGGTAGAGGATGAGAGGAGACTCCGATTTTGAATTTGAATCGTCGACCGGTTCCTGACCGCAATTGTCACCGCTGTCGCAGTCCTGGTCGTCAATGAAGGAAAGAGGGGACTCGAACGTGACGGAGTTCTTGAGAGAGCCACCGGCGACGGTCCAGTTGGCGGCGGAAGTGCAAGAAGCGGCGCCGGAAGGAGCCGTGTCCGAAAATTCCATTTAAATTCAGTAGTGAAGCTTGAGCTCTCGCGAACAGAAGCGATTCTCTGTGGCTCTCAAGTCTCAGCAGCAGCGTAGGAAGAATTGCAGTGAGGCACGGTGATGGCAATGAGTCAATCCGGTCGGGTTTTTAGACCCCAACCCAATCAAAAGGGTATAACTTATAAGCCTGTGACACCCTAGAGGCCTAGACCGATAGTCCACTACTTTTACCCAAATACTATTGCAATCTAGTTATGCTCCTAACAAGAGCTTTTGTTAGGAGATGCTAACAGGGGCGGATGGGCATCCACGTCGTCAAGCCGTCATCCATCGATGGAAGAGAGAACGCGCCAGAATGTGAGGGAGGAGAGCCGATTTCATCGGCTGGGCAAAGCCCACAGCGGCTTGCGGGGCCCGCCGGGCCCACTAATTCAAAAACCGAAACAAAATTACCCTAAACCTACCCCTTTTGTGTTCTCCGCCAAATTGGTTTTCCCCTGCCTCTCTCTCCCTTTCTCTCTCCCTTTCCTCTCCCTTTCCTCCTCTCCCAAACGCAGACGAACGGCCGCGCGGTGCAGCAAACTCGGCGGCCACGAACTCGGCGGCAGCGAAGTCAGCGGCAACGATCTCGGCGGCAGCGACGAAGCAGCAAACTCGGCGTTCTCGGCGGCGGCGACGACGAAGCAGCGAAGTAAGAGTTCTGAAGTTGTAGATCTCGGCGGTAGCGAAGTCGGCGGCAGAGATCTCGGCGGCCGCGACGAAGCAGGAAACTCGGCGGCGGCGACCTTACCGCGACGGAGTTCTCGGCGTCAGTGAAGCAGCGAAGTTGTAGATCTCGGCGGCGGCGACCTTACAGCGAACTCGGAGGTCTCGACGGCGGCGATCTCGGCGGCAGCGATCTTGTCGGCGGCGACGAAGCAGCGATCTCGGCGGCGGCGCTTTGCAGGGAACTCGGGTTCTTGATCAAGTAAGGTTTCAAGCATAGATCGTGGATATTAGTTTTCGATTGGACAGATTTGAGTTAGGGTTGCATGATTCGTTCTTCTGTGGGTTTTATTTCTGGGTTTTGTGGAATGGCTTTCTGTTTGTGTCGATATTTAGTTCTGTTTGTGCCGATATTAGTTTTGTTCGTGTCGATATTAGTTTTGTTTGTGCCGATATTAGTTCTGTTTGTATTGATATTGGTTTTGTTCGAGCATGATATCAGTTTTCACTTTCCTGGATAGTTGTTTTATTGGATCTGGGTATTTGTCTTTTTACTAGATCTGGGTTTTTCTTTTTCTGCGTTTTTTGAAGTTAAGGTTTCATGGATTTTACTAGATCTGGGTTTTTCTTTTTCTGCGTTTTTTGTATGAGTTTGATGGATTTGTTTTCTGGTAACTTAGATTTGACTGGATTTGGGTTGCTCTCTTTTGTGGATTATGTGGATATGTTTTCTGGGTTTGTGGATGTGTCTGGATCTGGGTCTGGGTTGCTTTGTTTATGGATTTGATTAGATCTGGGTTGCTTTGTTTTTTGGGTTTTGTGGATATGTTTTGTGTGCGTTCCGATATTAGTTCTGTTCGGACAGGATATCAGTTTTTAGTTGCCTAGATAGTTGTTTGATATATCTGGATATTCCTACATTGATATTGGTTTTGGTCGACCATGATATCATTTGTGAATTGCCTGGATAGTTGTTTGATATATTTGGATTATGTGGATATGTTTTCTGGGTTTGTGGATGTGACTGGATCTGGGTCTGGGTTGCTTTGTTTGTGGATTTGATTAGATCTGGGTTGCTTTGTTTTTTGGGTTTTGTGGATATGTTTTGTGTGCGTTCCGATATTAGTTCTGTTCGGACAGGATATCAGTTTTTAGTTGCCTAGATAGTTGTTTGATATATCTGGATATTCCTACATTGATATTGGTTTTGGTCGACCATGATATCATTTGTGAATTGCCTGGATAGTTGTTTGATATATTTGGATTATGTGGATATGTTTTCTGGGTTTGTGGATGTGACTGGATCTGGGTCTGGGTTGCTTTGTTTGTGGATTTGATTAGATCTGGGTTGCTTTGTTTTTTGGGTTTTGTGGATATGTTTTGTGTGCGTTCCGATATTAGTTCTTTTCAGGCAGGATATCAGTTTTTAATTGCATGGATAGTTGTTTGATATATCTGGATATTCCTACATTGATATTGGTTTTGGTCGACCATGATATCTTTTGTGAATTGCCTGGATAGTTGTTTGATATATTTGGATATGACTTGTTTGATATTACTTCTGATCGTTAGGGTATTCGTTATGTGGAGTCCAGCTATTGATTAGCTAATGTCAGGATATTCTACTGGGCAGGGAAATCATAATGACAAGAACTAAATCAACTGCAATGAGGACCACATCAGAAGGCGAAACCTTTAGGCCTAAATGTGCCAAACAACAACAACAAAATGAGGACCAAGAAATTGAGGATGAAGAAAGTGATGACCAAGACGATGAGGGAAAAGGAAGAAAAGTTTATTTTAGATTTGTGTAGTGTGATATTGGTTTGTAAAACTGAACTTAGGGTTAGATAATATTTAGGGAAAGATGTTGGTTTGTAGCAAAATGGATAATATTTTGTTAAATGTTGGATATAATTACCAACATAAATTCTCAAAAATATAACGTAACCTCCGAGAAAAATATCTGTCTTTATGTAGAATAATATCCTTAAAGCTCAGACTAATACTTTTTGTGTGCCAAAGTATATCCTGAAAGGCCAGACTAATATCCTAGATCTCTTTGCCTCTTCACGATTCTTCGGTTTGTTTTTCCCTTTAGTCATCAATTAAACACATTTAATCAATTACCCGCATTTAGTAATCAATTAAACACATTTAATCTCTGTGAGGTCAAGATATTATCGAGGCGGGAAAAAGTCCAAAAGATGATCGACATTTTGGAGCAGCAATCCCACACTTAAACAAAGAATTTTCTTAAGTACTATTTTTTGTTTGGAAAGTTATAATCGCCATGTCGGAATGAATTTTACTACTAATTGTATCGAGTGTTCTCACTAGTTTTGCGTACTAGAAAACCATAGCAGACCAATATCCGTACACCATAAAAAAATATCCACACCACCCATACCAATATCCGTTCCTCACATAATAAATATCCTCACCTACACAAACTAATATCCACACCACCCAGACTAATATCTCACCGTTAAAGACTAATATCCGATGATACCATAACTAATATCGTCACCATGATAGACTAATACCCACCACACACAGACTAACATCTAAACCCTAAATCAAAACCCAAACCCTAAACCGTAAACCCTAATTCTAAGTCCTAAAGTCTAAACCCTAACACTAAACCCTAAATTGATGTAATCATATACAAATAAGTAGATAAACACCACATAAAACAAATATCCAAACCCACCCAGACTAATATCAGTTCACAATATAAAAAATGTCAACACCACCCAGACTAATATCCCACCCTCTAAGACTAATATCCGCTGATACCATAATTAATATCGTTACCATGATAGACTAATACCCACCACACACAGACTAATATCTAACCTCCCATCACATAATAATATCTTATCACCATATACAAATATCGAACCACCCTACAATGTATTCATAAAAATTTCCACAATATCGTCTTCTAAAACCTAAATCAAAAACCCAACCAACTACATATAAACTCTAAACCCTAATTCCTAAAAAAATAAACCATAATCACTAAACCACAAAAACTAAATCCTAAATTATAATCACTAAATCATAAACATAGATAAACACCACATAAAACAAATATCCAAACCAACCCAGACTAATATCCGTTCACTATAAAACAAATGTCCACACCACCCAGACTAATATCCCACCCTCTAAGACTAATATCCGATGATACCATAATTAAACCCTTAACATTAAACCGTAACACAAACCCTAAACCATAAAACTATTATTATTTAATGGGCCTTCGGCCCATGGGCCCTCGGCGGGCAGCCCTAACTAAGGTTGCAAGCCTTACGTGTTAGGACTTCCTAGTGTGTTTAATTTCCTAGTGTGTTTAATTTGATGTAAGAAACAATATTCCAATCCTTCATAAATTGAAAACCGAACCATAAACCCTAAAACTTAACTCTAAATTGGTGTAATCAGTTTTGGGTGGTTGGGTTATTTTGGGGTTTGGTAAATATTAATTTAATGATGGATATTGATTTGCGAAGGAAGAATACTAGTTCATTTCAACAATGATGCAAAGTAATATCAACACAACATATAATAATATCGACTGAAAACAAATAAATATCCACATAAACAAACATACATATGTATCACATGGGGCCCAAAAATTTCGTTCTCTTTCCACTCCAACCCAAAATCCCGCCCAAACTGGCCCCGGGCCCACCACGCCACTTGCTCGGCTTGCCTTCTGCGCCGCACGCTGGGCCGGCTTCTACACGGAAGCCCATCTCCAGCTCATTTAAGTGAGCCACCACCCAGCCGCCACTCTCCTCCGTTAGATGAAGCCCAAGCAAACGTGGCCCAAAATCTGACCATGTCAGTATCTCCTAACAAAATGGCCTGTTAGGAGATTAACTTTTTCGATACTATTGATATTAGTCAAATAGTAAATGCATAGAAGTAACATAAAGATCATTCCAAAATACAAGGGGGAAAATCCATCTTAAAAGTATTCAAACATAATTCTCATTAAGTCTTAAGCCCGCCAACAATTAATGAATAAATTTAAATAAGTTCCGCCGGAAGGTCTTCAGACCACTAATCCTTGTGATAACATCTTGGGCAGCTGCTATGTCCATGGCCCTGCGATTGATATGGATGCTTCTGATTCCCTGCAGCTCCTAAGCGCGAGCGTTGGGGTCAATCTCAATCCTAGTTTCGCTTTAATGGTGAAAAAACTCATAATTACATACTTGAATGAATGAATAAATAAATAAATAAATAAATAAATAAATATACTCATGCAATGTCTCATGCTTAAATTTAGTATTCTTATCACTCTTTATGAAAGGGGGCGCTACCAAACGTGATATAACGTGAACTTCCACCTGACGGGAAGATATAACATGAGCGTAACTTCTACCTGATGAGAAGTACGCCAGCATAACATGAA